CTTTCAGAGCTCATCAATGACAACAACTACATGTTCTTTGCACCGAAAGAACGTCTCACCAGTACAAAATTACTCGATTGTTACAATAAATACCAGACATGGTACAGGAGGCTCCCACCTGCGCTAGGAGTGGATGGCAAAAAAGACCCGGAACCACACATTCTGGTGCTACAGTATGTCCACCTGATCTTCGTTTCGCGCGTACCAAACTAACACACAATAGCATGCTATACTACACTGTCATTGTGCACCTCTTTCGCCCAATGCTCAAAGTAGACCTAGTTCACTCAGATATTCATCCCCGCCAGATCTGCATCGACGCAGCGAACAATGTCTCGAGACTTGTTAGGCTCTATCGGTCTTTGTATGATTTTCGCGTGGCTCATCTTGCTATACCACATATTTTACTCTCGGTCTGTATCGTACATTTGCTGTACTCAAAGGATAACAACACGTCGCGCCAAAACCTCATAGAAGGCCTTCAGGGTCTTGAGGATTTGCATGAGTGCCACTATTTTGGGGCGCGGAGTTTCAGGATCGTACATACATTAGCGAACAAATGGAATCTTCCATGGCCAGAAGAGTTGAGGAATTCCAAGCTGGTGCCTAGTAGCAACCCAGACAAGCCGCCAGGGACTATTAGCCCCCCAGCCGACCCGCTTTTGGTCGCCCCCAACACAGTGACGACTACAGGTAGCCGTATGGGATCCAACATGGCATACCCCCCTACTGGCGATCCACATAGGAGGGAGAGTCTATCAATGTTTGGACCAGGACGACTGCAACTGGCTACGCATCCTGCAACATCAAAGCCAAGCAGTGTTGTGTCTAGCCAGCATTACCAATCGCCCGTTGTTGGTCACACGCCAACACAATCCACATACAATTCCACTATGACACCTTCTTCGTATCAATACTCTCAGTCAATGTCCTCGATACCCACCAATGCGTCCACGACAAGCACTTCATCTGCAACAGATGCACCGGAACCTCTATTCTGGAATCCCATCCCGGGCATGCAAGGGCCCATATTGCCGCGCAACAATTATCCGCAAATTAGCCCCATGGGTTTGGAGACGGTTCTACAATCAGCAGATATGGGCGACCGACTTGTGCGTGACGGCTTCAAGATGAGCGAAGACTGGCGGTCAAGCCATGTCAATGGCTTCAACGCTGGCTCAACTGGTAGTGTCTATGGTCAGAATGACCAAACAGGTTCTAGCTATATTCATCGGGGTAGTGGGACCTACACGCAGCCCGGTGCTGGTGTAACTTACCAGCAGCCCACTCATGACGGCCACCATGGGCACTCGCAAGAGGCCTATGATCCCGCGTGGTGGCCCAATGCTAGTGGCGGTTCAGACCAAATGAGCTGACAGATATTCAGGTCACGATCCGGTGGACGAGTGTAGCTTGTTCCGCTCACTGCCCGGTTCTGTGACCTTCGTGCCATGACGTCGGTAGACGGAACGGCCAGTGACTCGCGACTTTGCAGTGTGCACATACCCATGTTTCTTTCTTGTTTCTCAACTTTTTTTGGCGTGCCATCTTACTATTTATGCAACGGCGGAGGGGTTGGCATTAGAGATGGGATTGACGAGCGGACGATCGAGACTGCAGATAATGCGCGAGAATCTGAGAGGATCTGCGAGAACCTGCGAAGTTCAAAAGGAAAAATGGAGAAGGAGCGCCTACTAGAGCACACAGTCAAGGAAGTAGATTATTAGAAAATTCCAAGTTCAATCTGTCTATCTAGTTATTGAGTGATGTACAACCCCTCCATTCTTAAGCTCTCCTGATCATCGCTCGTGCTTAACGTGATATGGCGCGTTCTTTCATGGAGGGGATTTTTTCTAGTCTGAGAATCATCTTCGCACCAGCATAGCCACGAAGTTATGTTGAATTTACATTCAAACTGTCGGCGGATATATTTTTCCCATCTTTGACGATGCGAAATATTGGATTGACTCTATTGCTTCCACCATAATGATAGAAATGAACGTGTAGCCTTCAATTCTAGGCTAAAGGTATCATGGCCCATGTGCTCATGGACCATGACTACGGCCTTTTTTTTGGGCCACTCCAATTCACCTGGTTGAACTTGTGTCGTTGTCCTGGAATTCAGCTGGCGGTAGTGGGTTAGGCGTGCGGAAATTATCACTTCCAAACCCCTCGTGTTGCGGCTGCTAGTGGATAATTTCTGCAAGTATTGGAAGGCAGTGCATGTTTGGTTCAGGTGAGTTTACAGTCTTGACCTTAAATGTTCAGGATTCCTGCACTTACCACGGGTTCACCGTATCGCTCACCTTTACCACGTCATAAGTTTCTAGCAATATTTAAAACCCCTTTTGGTTCTCTCTGCCTGTATCCTTTACCTCAAACACACCACCATCATCTTATCATCCTCTACCCAGTGTGAGCTTGGCCCTGCTTTGGCATCCTACCAGCTATGGCAGACACCATTGTCAAGGATGGGTAATCCAAAGATTTAAAGAAATAGTGTTAGAGGGAAAAGAAGCAGGAGCGAACAGAATGCGTGAGGCTGAGGCACTTCAAGTGTACTATTATCATCCAAGCCCAGAACGTGCACCAAAGGAGCCCCAGAGATCTCGTTGCTACAAAGAGCATCTAAGGACCGAAGTAAAGAAGATCTGTGCTGTGAACAGCCTGCATATGAGGTACAACAAGGAAACTGATCATGGCTACTTTGAATAGTCATACTATATTGGAGCGACTCGAAAGACCGAAGGCTATGAATCACTGGACTAGGCCAGATTGAATTGGATGGCTTGGACAACGATGGGTTCAGACACTCTGAATGAGCGAACAAGGCAGCCTGCCTTGGAGTGCATCGAAATGGTGGTTACGAAGATCGAAAACGGGACTGTGTCCTTGTACGTCAGCGGGGTTAGCAAGTCGATTGTACCAAAAAGTGGCCATTAGCTTGCTATTCGAGCTTCAAAATAAACGAGACTCTGCAATACTCTGATACGGGAAGAATTAAATATATTTCGTGATCTCATGAGCCCGAGCACTTCAAGCCAGACCTAATCGTTTCACCACCATGAACAGAAAACCATTGCACAACCACCTTGGACGAATCCGATAAGCCTCCAGGTGTCGTGCATGTACGCTCTAGATTGCTTTGTCTTTTTTGGCCCTGTTGGTTACAGAATGTTTACACAACATGCCACTAAGACAGCAGCATACTTATGCTTTGGCAGAACCACCCTTGGGACCGAGAATATCATCGACAAGCCCGACCCACAATTGCTTTGCCATTCCGGCACCGCCTTCGACCGGCTTTGAGAGCTGGCTTGCGACCTGCGCAGCCATGCCTTGGTAATCGAAGTGGTTGCTGTCGGAAACATCGGACATGGCGCTCGGTGCATGGATGTGAGTTCCATCAGCCGCGACAGTGTGGATAGTGGGGATCATGACCTGCAATCAAACCGGATCAGTCCTTGTTCAAAAAATCTACAATTGGAAGAAGAAGGAAAGCTTACAGGTTCCTCGGCCTCGGTGGCCTCGGCTTTTGTCGCCTCGGAGGGCTGAGTCCATGGCGAAATCGGAACTCTGATCTCCACTGGTGCACTCTGGAGGTCCGGGTCAAAGTCGGGAATGTACATGAAATCGATTGTGCTCGAGTCGCCCACGGCTTTTAGGCTTCGGCTTGTGTTGAAATGGCGGACGGGCTTGCCGGTATCTGTGGTGTCCGGTACGGGGATGGTTGCGGAGGCGGGCAATCTGGGGGCGTTTGAACCGCGAGCATGGGGCTTGTCGGATGTGAGCAGCGAAGAGAAGGTCGCTGGGCCGGTCATGGAGAGTTGGCGGGTCGAGATTTTGCTGCCGGCAGCGATGGTGCGGGTGAATGCTCGTGCAGCCTGCATGGTTGCGGTGTTGTGAAGCGGTCGGTCAAAGGAAGAAGAAGAGGGGATTAGTACGGAGATTAAATGGGCTTGTAGTACGGATTCAATTTGGACTTTGAGGCCGGAAGTCTTCGGAGTGCGTTATCAGGCCAATCTGGGGCGGAGGAGACGAGTGGTGTGAGGAATGAACAGCTATCTGGAAACGTGAGGGGAAGCTGCCCGCTTTTGAGAGCAGCGGCGCAACAGCGATCGGTACTCTTGGCCGTGTTCTGGAAAAGGCTCGGAAGGCGGTCAACAAGGTGTGCAAGCAGGCAATCACGCAAAGTGTTCATAAAGTCGCAGGCTTCATTGGCAATTCGGGGATGCAGCCCTCGAGTCCGTTATGCTCAACGCATCGCACAGGGAGCTTGGACGCGAATGCTATGCTGATTGCAGTCTACCGTACGACCCGAGCCAATGGCAAAGATCCACTTTGGCGGCCCAGCACCGTGTCCCCGCACTTTAATACACATTGAAGCATGCTCGAAACAGCCAGCTATTCCTTATCAAAGGATATTGTTTGGTACTCCGCTGTGCCATGTCTGTCTCTGGCCCGGCAGTCCACGGGACAGTCGAAGCGGCATCGCAGCCGCAGCCGCACTCTGCAACATGGACGTCTGGAGATCGCGCGAGAATGTCGGTGTGCCGAGTCTGTTGAACGCACGTCCTCCAGGGGCATCCAGCCTAGCGATGTCGGCTTCCCGCAATCCGCTGTGCAACTTGTCACGGAAGCTTGTGCAGCAGCGGTGCTGGGCGGAGAGCCGATCATACAGGCACGACTTGGAGCGAGGCGGGCGCAAGACACAACCAGACCATGAGCCGCTGAACAATCCATCATTCGCCGAGCATGAAGGAAATGACAGCATGCTGGATCATGTTCTGTTGAGCCATGATAGTGGAACAGACAGCTCAACACATGTACCCTACACGCGACAGTCTATCTCCAAAGATATCTTCGCAAAGTCTTCTTCAAGGGGGAAAGCCGCGCCCCACAGCCCGCAAGCGAGGAGTCACGTGACTTGCGTGCCTTCCCTCTCCAAACACACAACATATCCATGTTAATTTTCAACTTCGCCATCCACAGCAAATGTCGGCCTGATGGTCTAGTGGTATGATTGTCGCTTCGGGTGCTCTTGCCCGGATACACGGTATCTGTGATTGTGACAGGCCCCGGGTTCGAATCCCGGTCAGGCCCGCTTCTGCTTTTTGCGTTTTATGATCACTTTTTGGCCTTTTTGCTTCTTTTTGCCCAACTCTGGGGTCGCCATGGATATCCTCTACTGAATCGAATCGACCTTTTTTGCTTCCGGTGCCCTCATCTTCCTTTATTCCTTCCTGTTCACACAGTCCTTGCTACTCCACGTGAGAACTGTCAGGCTAAATATACTTTGCGCTCTCAAATTGCGAAATACAGAGCAGGCAAAGACCGAGAGCAGTAGTCTGCATAATGGCACACAACAGTCACATAATCTAAACGAGGCAAGGCTTGATTACTGCATTTCAGATCGAGTCCTCTATCATCTAAGCCAGAAACTCCAAGCGGAAAGGTCTGACTGCCCGTTTCCTAAAGCGCGCCCTAGTATATTCTCCAATCCGGGGTATCGTGACCCTGACACCTAGCACTCGCGCGCGAAGCAATGACAGTGGTATCCAAACGAAACATCAGCTGACAGACACATCGTCCCGCAATCATAACGCAAGTCGTAAACGCGTGGAAATCATAGAAGAGAAATCAAAAAGTCGCCATAAAGAGCGGAAACGAAGCGGAAAGTGGTAACAAAAATGGTAAAACTACCGCCCATCGTAGTCGCTCGTCCAGCCTCCGCCATTGCCGCTGTAGATGGGCTGCTGGCCCTGGTAGTCGCTCTCTTCGTCAAAGTACTCGCCTCCACTAGAGGCATCGAAGCTGCTGCGGCCGCTGATGTCACCTTCCACCTCGTCAGGTGGGCCAGGTGGAAGCTGGTCCCATTGAATGCCTGCAAGCGCAGGATACTGAGCGAGAAGAGCGGCAGGCAAGAACGGCTGCGGCGCTTGAGGGAACTGTTCAAAGCCGGGCTGTGGTGGCATCATACCGCCAAAGTTCTGGCCGGGCATCGGCGCAAACATGCCATTGGCATTGTTCAATTGCTGATTCTGGCCATCCCAACCGCCCTTCTCTTGTGCCTCCTCCTCGAGCAACGGACGGATACACACACGGCCAGCTTCGGATCTGAAATGGCGGCCTAGAGCATCGGCACGAGCGAATCGCCTGCCGCAGCCCCAATGGTTGCCGTCTTTCAGATTTCCACGGCAAACAAACTTCTTCTCCCCAGAGTGCAGGCCCTCGTGCCGCTTCCGGTCGTGCTGACGTGCAAATGCTTTACCGCAGACACTACATACAAAAGGACGCTCGTCGGTGTGCGTTCGCAGATGTGACCGGAGGTTGTACGCCCTAGTAAATCGCTTCGGGCACAGGGTGCATTGAAATGTCGCAGGGTGTTTTTGAGTACGCTTGGGATTGGAGCCGTCAGCAGGCGCCGGCCGGGTCGGGTCGGCAAGGTCAAGAATGTAGTCACGATTCGGAACACTGGAGGTCGAAGACCGACGAGAAGACTTGTTGGATGGCGAGGGAGATCGGGACTTGGCGGCACTAGGAGAGAGCGACCGGTGCACTTCTGAGCCCGGCGTGGAGGCGCGGGAGCTGGCGCTGGTAAAAGGATCCGATTTGGCGCGTATCCTGTTCCGGCTCCGTGCTGTGAAGTGATTAGACATAGTCATAGGCAAACAGTAAAGTACTTACATCGATCTGGCGGGCTCAGCGCGTCAACTTGATGCTCAGGCTTGGGTGGCTCAAAGCTCGCTTGGCGCGATGGAGGCGCGAAATCGATATTGATCTCCGGCGGGGACATGGTATCGGCTTGGCCAAACTCGGGCACACCCTGGTTCAATGACGGAAAGGGTTCCGGGCCAGGGTTCTGGTATGCACCCATGCCCTGTTGCGCGTACTGGTTGTTCATTCCCGGGTCGAGGCCAAAAGAGCCAGGCTGGAATTGCGGCAATGCCTGTTGCTGCTGCGGGATCAAGCGGGGCGAGATATGGGGGCTATGGCCCGGGCTAATGTGCGAATTGCCGTCATTCAGATTGAACTGCCCGAACTGCATGACAGGATCGTGGAACAGCTGCGGGTCGTTTTGCGCATTGAGGAGGGGCGAGGGCTGATCCGTCTCGAAGCTGTCCTGTTGCGGCAGGTATGGTGATGCATGCGCCGAGGAGACATCCGAGTACGTCTCGCTCGGGGCTCTCCTGTGGCCTCGAAAGTTGGCCATGTTACCCCACTCGGTTCCCTGCGTGTATGCGGCGCTGGGGTCCAATGAGGCATGTCGCGAATGCCCTGGAGAGGTGAATGCGCCCTGGTTCATATTGGGGGAGGCGTGTGGGCTGGGGGTCTGGCGGGAGTTCATGGTGGGCAGGAGGTGCGGCGGTGTGGGCGCGTTGGGTTGCGTGGTCGCCATTTGGCTCATTAGGTCAGACGGATTGACGGATTGGGCCTGTTGCGGCTGAGAGTCGAGCAGCTGAGGGTCGAGTGTGCTGCCCAGGAACTGGGTCTGGTTGAGGTCGTTGCCCGCAAAGAACGTGTTGAAGTCGGGGTTGCTGTTGCTCGCGAGGTCGAGTGGGTCCGGTGAGATGTTGCTGCCTTGGGGCCCAAAGTGCGGCGTGTTGTGCTGCGAGAGGCTCTGGGTGGCTTGCAGATAACTCTGGTCGGCGAGGGCAGTCTGTTGCGCAAACGGCGGGCCCTGCGTGGTGGTCAAGTACTGGGAGCTGTCAAAAGCAGCGCTCGTTACTTGGAAGCTGGTCGAGGGGTTGTTGTTGACGGCGAGCGACGAGTCGAAGCCAAGGCCAACGTTGTGCTGGAAAGGCGCATGTGGCGAAGGCGAGGGCGAGTGTCTTATATTGTGGATTCGCTGGCCCGCCGAGGGCGAGCGCCCGCGCTGCTGGATACCGGTATCCATGATGCAGCAGACAACTGGTGGGTGTGGTTATTCTTGGAGTGGGATGTGGAGGGAGAGGACTGCGCTTGGGCCAACTCTTGGGGATCGCCGTGTCTGGCAGCGGGCTGGGGCTCGGTCAAATGTAGAGCAGGAATCGGCCACAATGACTGGTCGGGCGACCGAGAGTAACGCGCAACGTTCCTGGCTTGACGGAGCTTGACTGAGGCTGGTGGGTGAAGGAGGCTGTGTGTCCTGCTCGTTGGTGGGTGTGGGCTGTGCTGATATGCCTCCCAAACTGGCCTAGCTGTTGCTAACAATAAGCTCCGCCGTGAGATGCAACTCGTCGGCTGCAATTGCACACACGGTGGATGCTCCTCTACGTTCCTGGTTTCAGAGTCGAGAGAGCCGTGAAACGGGACGACTAGGGCGTCGCACGGGCGTGATATGCCTTGTCGTCCTGTACCGGCGATGACGTCGAGCTGCCGTCTTTGTTGCTGTTCGCAGGCACCGCTACCTTCGAATATGCAGGTATGCGTGCAAGACCTTTGAGGCACAGGTTCAGTTCAATGATGTCGCGTGATGATCGCCGAATGCTATTCTCGACCGTCAAAGTGGAGTTGCTCGTCACTGTGAGGGCCCTCGAGGTGCGTCCTGGAAGCACAAACTGTACGCGACGACGCGCAGCTCAGCCCCAGCCTTATAGAGACGGTGGAGCTTGCCTTGGTGGATGAGCGTGTAATCCAGCGCTGGCGATTAACTGGTAAATCACATGTTGACCACGTCGGCGCCGAGCCTACGAGCACCTCCAGTGTCGCCGAGCTGTCACAGAACACTCGCCGTGTGCAGTCTACACCACGCCACCAGCCTGTTGCACCAATTGCACCAGAGAGAGCGGGCGCGCAATTTCAAAATGCTCTCATTTCTTGGGCGCGTAGACCAGTCAGCGACTCGTTCCTGTGGGTGAAGCCATCACCCGGTCCCATAGAAGATGATTTACACAGCCACACAGGTCGCGAGGCACACATCGCGGCGAGGCAGACTTCATACGTAAACATTTCTTATTCCCAGGCCTACACAACATCGGAAGTTTGATCACTTCCCGCACACTGCATAGCATTGCATCACTCTGGTGCGATAATAATAGACGTGAAACCTTTCTAGAAACCTTTTTGTGAGCCTCATGTCAGCGCTTAGAACCGTGATTTGAGAATGTGCATCGTCCCGAATTCGGAAAATGGCTGAGTACAACACTCTGGCCTCGAGAATCATGTAACGGGAAATGAATTCAGCATCCTACGAACATTGCTTCCGCAATTGTTCATCCACATGAGTGTGCACAGGCTTGAATTTTCGCACAAGCATCCAACCGTGGTTACCATCAAGCCGTTTACCTTGTTCATAAGACATGTCACTAAGATGCGCTCAAGCACTGGGATAAACCGCAGTGCTTAGCATCATCGATTATGATCATGCCATAAATCAATCACCCACGGCCCTACTCAGCAAATATTCGAACATCACAATCTCCGCCCCGCCGTTCCCCCCTGGCCCCTTCTCCACACCTCACAACGACTACCGGTATTTACCTTACACATATGTCTCTCTACACCCTCGCTTACACACTGGGTTCGAGCTCATTCCACTTAGCAGGTTGAAGTGCTCCGTGCATGGCCAATTTATTCAAGCGATTGGAAAAGTCACAACTGAGAGGCACAAAGCTGCACATTCACGGCTTAATTGCGACTTGCGTCTCGGCCATACTTCACAGAAAACATGCGTGTCCGATGAAATGCTTCTTCGAAGTATCTGGAATCATCTGTGAATCTACCCAAACTTCAATCCCTGCGCAGGATCCCAGCGTCCATCCTGGGAAGGACCGTTTGACGGCCGAGTATTCCCAGATGCTGTAGGAACTCCACCAAATCGAATGCCAACATCTGGCGTCCACATTCCAGAAGGCGGTGGCACTGCAGCTCTCGTAGGTGTAGGAGCAGTCAAGGGTTCTTCTGCATGTGCACTAGCGCCATATTGTGGGTTATGCGCATCTGCTTGTTTCTGCTGTTGCAGGGCATTCGAGTTTGCTTGCTGAAGACTGAGTGAGTTCATTCGAGTTGCAAGGTCACTGGCGATCTGTTAGCAATGTCATAGAACACCCAGATCCTTCTTACTTCTCAAGTGCAGATGCATCTGACTTTCGCTGATACGCAAAGCTACGTGCATCATCTCG